CCGGGGAGCCCCTCTCACCGCAGAGGTCACTCCGGGACCTCAGGGGCGGCGCCGGCCCCCGCGGACGCCGTCCCGTCTCGCAGTCTCCTGCGCTGGGACGTCCCTCCTGGGCTGGCAGGTTCAGGTCCCCAGTGTGAGACAGAATGCAGATAAATACAGTGGAGTTCGAGGACAGCGACACCCGGGCTCGTGCAGCAGCAAGTAATCTAGAAACCTCTTCTGTGAAAATATTGTTCCCACCATTGATAATTTCCTACCACTTTGTCTAATTCGGTAAGCTCCCCTATTACTGCGTTATCCTTCTTTTACTCTTTAATAAAAAAATTAAAAAATGAAAATATTGTTCCCTGCAATGCTACTTAAGTCGATATAAGCGAAGCTTCTCCTCGTGTACCAGGGAGAGCGTCTTGTTTTGTTGTGTTTTTTTTTTTTTTTTTTTTTTTTTTTTTTGAGACAGGATCTCACTAAGTCGTTTAGGCTGGCCTCAGACTCCAGAGGATCCTCGATCCTCCTGCCTCAGCCTCCCAAGTGCTGGAATCATAAGCGTGTGTGCCACCATGCCCAACTGTAGAGAATATTTTTCTGATGAAGGAAAGAGCGGAGGAAAAAAAAAAAAAAAGAAATAGAGTTTCTGTGACTTAAGACAAATTTGATGTTAGCATATTACAATTCGTTTATTTCATCACCACTTCCATTAGTATATTCAATAGCTTCATATTTCCCCTTGGTGTTACATATCACAGCCTTAGAATTTTGAGGTCTGGAGCACAGTCAGGACCCGGAGTTCCCCCTCTGTTATAGTAGACTGTACTTTTTTCCCCATAACTTAGTTGAGTATCCAGGATCACACTTGGAGAATAAAATGAGATTCATCTAGTGGCCAAATGAAGGGTTTAATATTAGAAAATACTCTACCAGACATCTAAAGCATCTCACAAGACAGGTAAAACTTATGTCACAATAAACATATGGGAGGTTTTTTTTAAATTTCACACGATTAAGAAGGTGGTCAAATCTTATTTCACCACGAACATTTTATCTAGTGTCTGTCTCCATCTTTGCATGATGTTATGTTCCCTGGGTATAGATTGCCTACAACTCATTTGATACCAAATACCTTTACAGTATGAGCACCCTTTACAGTAGGTACATCCTAAGTTCTTAGGACAGGACAGTAAAGAAAATAGATAGCAAAAGATCCGATCAAAAAATAGGCAAACAAAATGAATAGTCATTTCTCAGAAGTACAAATAAATACAAGAAGTACATAAAAATGCTCATCATTGCTGGTCATCAGAGAAATGAAAATTAAAACTACACTGAGATACTGTCTTACCACAGAAAGAATGACTATCATCAAAAAAATTAATAATAACAAATGCTGACGAGGATGTTGGGAAAAGGAAATTTCTGCATTGTTGGTGGCAATGTAAACTAGTAGAGGCACTATGGAAATAGTGTGGCAATTCTCACAAAACTAGAAATAGAAATTCCATTTGACCCAGCTATCCCCTTTCTAGGTATTTTCCTAAAAGAGTTAAAATCATCCGATTACAGAGATACATGCATAGCCATTTTTATAGCAGCACTATTTATAATGGCTACATCTTGGAAGCAGCATGTATGTCCATTAACATGAATGGATAAGGAAAATGTATTTATACACAGCGGATTACTGTACTGCCGTAAAGATAAACTTGAGGCATTTATAGGTAAATGGATGCAACTTGAGAACATAGTGTAATCAGTCAGACACATAAGCTCAAATATGTGGTTTCTCATATGAGAAACAAAATATATATAAATATAAAATAAAGAGCAAAATAGAAGTAGGAAAGAAGGAGAAAGTTCAAACACTTCTCCAAATTACATATTTCATTGTTTCAAAAAGAGTTTCATATATGTGCTAGTTTGTTTTAGTTATATTACTAGTTTCTCTTAATTCATTGAAAAGAAAGTTTTGTGCTATTATCTGTTTCTTCTTTGTAAGAAAGTCTTTTTTGTCTGTCTTGTACTGTGTAACTATTTTGAAGATAACAATATGCAGTGTATTAACTATTGTTACTCTGATTATATTGTTATGAAACTTTGTCTTATTATTTCATAAAAAATTTTTTAAAAAGACAATAGACAAAAGGCCCTACTGTCACGGGGAACAGACAAGAAAATACAAGCAAAACATACTATGTTGGTTATAAGTACCAAGGTGAAAATAAGAAAGGGGGTTACAATTTTAGAAAGGACAATAGAATGACCAGAGAAAGCTCATGAAGTGACATTGCCATTGAGCAACAAACTGAGGAAATTGGCAGCGATTATGTGGAGAAAAAAGTATTTCGGGCAGGAAGAACAACTGCAGAGTCCCTGAGCAGCTGTGTTTCTGGCAGGTTGGAGGGGTGGTGAGCAGGTCTACGCAGCCACAGCACCAGGCAGGGCGGTGGGAAATGAAGTTGGGGTGGAAGCGATGGCTGAGGCTCCCAGGACTTTGCAGGTCATTGTAAGGAACGTCACCTGGAGCAGAGGGGTGACATGACTTGACTCAATGTAACAGGGTTGCTTTGGGTGCCACGTTGAGAGTACAGTGAGAAGCTATTGCTGCAGGGCCCTGCATAAAAGCAGTGGAGATGATAAGTGGTCATATTTAGGACACACCTGAAAGACCCAGCAGGATTTGCTGACAGATTACACAGCCAGAGAGTGGGATAAACGAAGGGCCACTCCCAGGAGCGTGTAAGTCAAACCAAGCGGAGCTAGGAGATGCAGATTGTACTCCGAGACACCATTAGAAAAGAAGGTACTTGTTTCTGTGGTTCAGCTGAAAGGGCAAGTACTGAAGGGAGGATAGAGTAGATGGAGAAGAGAAAAGCATGAGTTGTACAGAGATGGTGGGGTTTTGTTACAGGTAGGGTAGAAAGGCCAGTGGTGAAGAAGGGAAAGGGGCACCAAAGAGGCGCCAGGTTTCTGCCTAGGGTTGGTCTCAGAGGACAAAGGGACACTAGGACCTGTCAGTGCAGACCACTCTTCAATCTGGGGCTTTGACGGGATCACTTTCACACTCTCAGAGCAAGGCCGTAGAGCTGGATAAGGACTCTGAGGTCACCTACGCTCGTCTCATTTTATCAACACAACTAGAAAAATAAAATGTTTTGCCTTAGATAACCTCCCTAACTTGGCAAACTAGTATCGAAACTGTTTTTCTAGTGCCATTTTAGGCCTTATTCTGCTGTAGCACATTAAGAATCCTACATTCCTATGAGTCCGGACTGTTTTTAACACAGCCGTTTTGAAAGCTATCCACGTTCCATGCAAAGTGCTTCCCTTCTCAATGTCATTTCAATTCTTTGAATTATAGCACAGAGAAAGCCTCAATTAGGTGCTCTATAATTTGCCTTTTTATTCAGGGAGGGTGCATTTCAGAATCAGCACCGCAGGCAGCATCCACAGCAGCGAAGCATACCAAGTACGGGAATTCTGAATCCAAATCCTAAACTCCAGAAGCTTTGAATTCACATCTGTTTTCTAAAAATTCCAAGACTTCTGGAAATTTTTATTAAGGCATACAGAAGTTGCAGCTATAATTCTCCAGATGTTCCCTCTGATATCATTAATACTGTACTATATAATAGATACTTTCCCCTTGCAGTTATTAATTTTAAGTGGAAAAATTTGATAATTAGGGAGTTCTGTCATATTAACAAAGATTTTTTATTAATTTAGCATGAATATCTCATTTAGAGGAGAAAATAAAGTATGACCCTGGAAAAACCTACCACAGCTCTCTGGGTCTTAATTTTGTCATGTGAAAAATGGAGAAATTGGACTATTTGATTTCTTTTTGTTTCCTTTCCTTTTGTACTGGGAATTGATCTCAGGGCTTTCACACTGAGCTACAATCCTGGCTCTTTTAAATTTTTTATCTTGAGACACAATCTTACTAAGTTGCTATGTTGCTCAGGTTGGGCTCAAACTAGCAATCATCCTGCCTCAGCCTGTGAGTTCTGGGATTACAGGGTTAGACCATTTGGTTTTTATTTTTTTATTTTATTTTATTTTTTGGGGTACCAGGAATCAAACCCAGGACCTTGCACTTGCCAGGTAGGCGCTGTGCTACTGAGCTATATCCCTGGTACCATTTGATTTTTAAAGTGTCTTTTAGTCCTAAGATTTTGTGCTATACAGGTAGAAGGAAACATACAAAAAAAAAGTTACCGTAGTGGAATAAGAGGCATATAGATGATTTCCTTTCTTTTAAACATCTTGTTTTCATTTAAAAACAATTAAGGAAAGAGCCAGGTGTTCCTCCTGCCTCAGCTTCCTGCAATCCCAGCACTGAAGGAGGCTGAGGCAGGAGGAGAACAATCTGAGTCCTGCTTAGGCAATTTTACGAGGCCCTATTGCAGAATAAAAGATAAAAAAGGGCAAGGGATATAGCTCAGTGGTAAATCACCCCTGAGTTCAATGCCCAGAATGGAAAAAAGGTATTCAAGAAAATATAAAATAACACTATATACAATCATTA